ACACACACACACACACACACACACACACACACACAAAATTACCTGAGATCAAGATCAACAGGGTAGAGTACACACACACACACACACACAGAGAGAGAGAGAGAGAGAGAGAAAATTACTCAAGATCAAGATCAACAGGATAGAGTGCAATACCCCTATATAGCCATAATTTACCGGAAGATTGTGTATTAAATGCATTTAGGCCTTCCCAGTAGCCAAATCGATGTCCCCAGCCGGAGCAGGAACTAGCTAGTCCTCTGTCCCAAGGCAAGTCATTTAACTTCCCTAGGTTTCAGTTTCCTCTTGGTCATGTAAATTGAGAAGGACAGACTTGATCAGTGGTTTTTCACCCATGTGACCTATTTCTTTCTACTTATTAGGTTGACTGGAGAATTGTGAATGTGAGAATCCCTTTTTAGTCTGTATCAGAATAAAAATAAAGGGTAGCATTAGTTCTAGATAATAAGAAATAAAATTCTCCCAGATTGCTATGTGCCTCAAGAATGTATTCTACGTTTTCTACTTGACATTTTTCTAATATCACCTTTTTACATGAGTATTCAAAGTATATGAAACAATACTTTTCATTACTTACGTTATCATTTATAGTCTTTGTATTTAGAGGCCAAACTAGCTATAAAATAATGTTTTTAAAGCTTTTCTAGATCTTTTAAGATAAGGCAATTTTTATAAATAAAATGCATGTAATGATTTTTAAATGATTTTACTGAAAGAATAACCTACTCCAGTTGGTAATTTTAGTCCAATCATCATCTTTCCTGGACTGTAGCGTGTGTGTGTGTGTGTGTGTGTAACGTGTGTGTGTGTGTGTAACGTGTGTGTGTAACGTGTGTGTGTGTGTGTGTGTGTGTGATTGGGCTTTGAACTCAAGTCTTCACACTTTCTAGTTAGGCATTCTACCTCCAAACCCGAAATGTTACTTTTTTAAACAAAAACATACTTGGTTTTGACTGGCTAAAACATACCTTGGTCTTCAGAAAGCATGTATTCTCAAGTGTCAAATTTACAAATAGCTAAACATCAATCAAGAAAAGCCTATAGGTAGAATTTGAGAATGAATTATGCCTTTATTTCTATGTATAATTATAATTTTTGATCAATAAAATTTTATAAGAAATTCAAAAATTCTGAATGAGATTTGGACATTTTTCAATGTCTG